CTTCTTTTTATCTTCTTCTGAAGTCTGAGTTCTGAATAATTCCTTCCTAATTACCGACTTGAGACTGCTGAATCTTCACTGGTTGGGTTTTATTTGTAACCAAGCTTTGATTTGCACTTTTTTTTCATTTATTTAACAACTAAAAAAGACAATTACATAGGGTTACAATTAGATAGCTTTGATAACCACTAAGTGGTTTGAACATGAAAATAAGTAGTCCTACGTTTAAAACGTTTCAGATTTTTTAATTCGTTTGAATGAATAAGCCAGCCTTATAACCGCAAGATGAGTCTTATTCATAACAATAGTAAAATTAAACAATAATGTGAATTGTGTTTCTCGAGATTTATTTATTATGTAAACCAATTAACATTTAATATTATTCATAAAGTTAAACCGCTATATTCGCATTTATATGTATACTCGGTAATTACTTTGTATTTATGTGTCTATTATGGAGTAAAGCCTATCAACATTTAAATGCAATATTCTGATTTAATAATGTAATTTTTATACCTAAGCATAGGTTATCTGGCTTATTAATAACTTTGTGTTTATTTTAATAACATAAGATGCTATAAAAAACTGTAAGTTATGTAAAAGTAATAACATTAACATATAGTCATATGTTAGTAGCATTAATCCATGCTATGTGTCACAATATTTACGCAAAACCAGCCAAAAGAATGTGGGTAAATATGTTAATCATTCACATAATACTATGTTTAATAAACACTAGACATTATGTTTTTATTATAGGTAAGTTTTGTGTTGATTAATTTATCGAAATAACTTCTATGCTAATTTACAATCAAATGTGTTAAGCAATATTTTATAACATTAGCAGTTTGTAGGATACCTACTATACTATTTAAAATACTTATTGTGTAAAATCAGACTATTATTGTTTCAAACTCAAATATTTTATTCAGTACTTAGGTCCTTCCCAGGGCTTATACGCGTCCCAAATACAGCTTGCCCTACCACTTCGGGACAACATTATGGGCTAGTACTTAGAAGTGACGACGGAAAAAACTCAGACACTTATTTCAGCCTTTTTTAAAAAATCTGATACAGATTTCAAAAAGACCCATTCTGATTTTTTTGCGTGATGTACTATCGTCCTTTTCGTAGCTCCCGCCCGTTGTGCATAGATCATTGAACCCGCATGATTGGGATGCGCACGAGTTGACTCTACGTAACACAAATACGCATTTGGGTCACTATCGGCCCGTTCCGATGAGTGGCTCGCTCAAGTGTTTTCGATGTTAGCCAAATAAATATAAACCACTTCATTTATAGGTTTTATTATGAGCATTAAAGATTATTGCAATTTTCAGCGACAATTAGATATTTACTTTATTTATTTATTTTGGGTTGTAAAATTTTTAGACTATGGTGGCATATTATTTACTAAAAGCACTTTAAATGCCTAATTCAGTGGCTAATCCTACAATGACATTAAATATGTTGCTTCAATTTATTATCTTAATCCCAAATCTTATTACGATAAGGTATTTCACGCAACAATAAGTCTATTGAACTACCACATTTCAATAACAGCACAGATAATAACAGTAAGTAAGAATCGATTGATGAAGTGTAAATCGATTTTAAAAACAAAATCAATAGTTCTCTTTCATTAGGTAACACCATTGTCTAACCAATAATTCCGAAACGCAATTTAATAAAAAAGCTTTATTCTACCCTGAAAATGAGTTTTCAGTTTGCTTTAAAATTATAATTAAAACAGCTTTGAAATTAATTGAGTTCGCAAACTAGTGTCATAAGTTCCCTTTACCAGTTAAAATTCTAAAGAAGATTCGCGTTTTGACAGTGACAGTTCCTCTATAGTTTATCAATTAACTAGTGATGTCAACTATTACTCATTGACAACACAAATCGATAAATCCATCGATTCAAACAAAAAGAGTACGTGACGCGGTCAATGTACGCCACGGTCGCAGATAAGGAACGACCTTCTGAAATTCCTTCATGATAAGATTGATAAGCTAATATTGAGGAATGATAATCACTTTCTTTGACCAATCAATCGGTAGAGCTTCTTATGACGCTTGTAAAGGTGCATACCCTTTTATTCATTGTAGATTTCAGTTCATAATTTCAGGAACATTTGTGAAAATTATTAGTCGAATCGGTTCAACTGTTTTAGATAACTTAATTTTAGCGATTAATTTTAATTTTACTAACACTTGTAGCTACACGTCCCAAATATAGCTTACCCTGGCACCACTTCGAGACATCATATTGGCTGGTGTTGAGAAGTATTGGAAGTTCAAAAATGTAGCTTTTATAATATTGTGTGTATGTCTATTTCACTGTCACAAGACAGCACAGCCAAACAGAGAGCTATTTTACGAGTAAAAGGTATAATTTCACAAAAAAAAAGTCTTATTCTATCGACTCTACATTTAAGGGTGGATTCAACCAAACAAGAGTAAATATTAATCTCAGAATAAATCGTCAGTTTTGTCATTTTTCCCATACTGAAACTGTCCATGTGTCAGTTATACCAGGAGTTATTTTCGGAAAGTTTGGTCGAATCGGGCCTAAGTGGATTTGGCTAACTAACTGAACTGAAGGTAAAACGCCTTAGTCGAAGTAACGTATATAACGTAATGTCGAAGTAAAGTTTGTCGGAATTTACTTTAGTTAGCTATATTTTAGTACTAATGTAGAGCACTTATCAACATTTGTTAACGTATTTTCATAATGTACAACTTGTAAGGTATGAAACATAACCTGCCTTTATTATCAAGTACTATAAATAGATTGGTCATGAAACTGAGTAACTTTGTTTACAATTGTTATTGAAAATAACTTTATGATTCAGTAGTTTTATCGACGTCGCATCGAGCGTTATTAATAATGTTCTGTGACTAACGAAGTGAGGTAATAACGTTTTCTATTATGCAAAACGTAGCTTAGGAGTAGACCTTAGTAATGGATATTACTATTCCCACCTCTCGTTCCCACCGCTGCAACTCCGGTGTAGCCAGGATCTATAGATTTGCCGCCAATAAAAACCCAACCAGTGAAGGCCAAGTTCGTCCCGGGGGAAAATTAAACTGTCATTGGACCCGCAGCAAGATAATCAGAAGAACATAGGAGTTTGGACAGCAGAGTGTTATCTAATGAGGGTTATCGTCCCAGCGGTCGCTAGTTCGTGCCACTGTATACTGAGTATAGTGACTAATGCCCGTTTTCACAATCAATTCCTAATTTTTAAGTGACCCCTATGGTAACACATAACAGGAATTTTGTTTTCATAGGGGTCACTTAAAAAATAGGCATAGTGGGTGAAAACGGGCATGAGTTTCTTGCGCTGCTTCTTCTCAGCACTGGCCCATTTATTGTCCTGAAGCAGTGGTAGGGTTAATATTGGGACGTGTGAAAGTGCTTTTTAAAAGCCTACTTGCATAAATAAATGAGTTTTAGATTTGTCTTTCATTATGTAACTTAAGTATTTGACATGGTTATGCTTTCATTTTGTAGTACACAATTGATATTAGCTGGAAGTGTATGTAAACTTAAATAATAAGTTTAAATAGATATGTCAAATATCTTCAACAACAAGATAGCACGCAATAAATAACCATTGATAACTAATTCCAAAGAATGCAAAAATAATAAATAAATAACGAATTATCCTCAAAGGGGATTAGTGACGTCACTTCATTCAGTATTTGGCGCGATAGTGACGTGATAGTAAATGGACGATTATCGATAGTAGTATCAAAATATCAAAGTGCAGTAATTGATACAATAATTGTGTTATTTGGTGAAATATTGTGAAAATAAAGTGTGGTTTTAAGTGAGAAAATTGTTTTTAAATTAGATTGTTGGATGTGTGAGGTAACAAAACATTTTAATTAAATCTAAGGCCCGTATTCACAATCACAAACGATGCTTGCTTAAGTGAAGCAGCAAATCGAACGCACAGCGTTGAATAGAGTTCTGTGATTGGTTCCTGTGTCATACTGTGCGTCCACGCGCACTGTTTAACCTCATAATGTTTGTATACGGGCGTAAATTTCGTATACGTTTCTTCGACATTATCAAGGATCATGAGATTCAGTTGTATACAATCGTGACTTTACGTATCTATTTATAATATCACCTACATACGGAAGAACAAAACAAATACATAATACAACTAGTCCACCATTATCTTTCCTCGCAACTGTACCTTTTATTCAAAACAGTGCCTGTTATTCCACGTCCAGCGAAGCCAGGAAGCTCACATCGTGACATCCGTGACTAGCTCGCTGAATGCCTAGGAGAGCCTTACATAACCACCAGTCAAGCTTGACCTGCCCCCGCCGTATGTTCACTTCACGCGTCATTTAAAACAAGGGCTCTTCATATAATTGCTATTTATATTGTGACATGAGCTCTACTATGAGGGAATTTCTAAGAGAGTTATATGACAGAAAGGGTCAAAATATGCTGGACGTTGCGACAGATGTTTGAAAATGCACATGTTTTATGTAATAATGGTAATGATGAGTCTTTGTAATTGTTGGTCACACCTGCAAGGGCCATGGCGAAACGTTATCACAATGATGTTTGTTTTTGTTAATTGTTTAAACAAAAAACTGTATTGCGTTTCAGTCTCGCGTAAGCACCAAGTTTGTTTGATTTTTTATTTGTTAGTGACTTTTTTTCAATAACTTTCTTATGTAAGATTACAAAAATAGACTTGCGAACTCGGTATTGAGCTTAATGTAATTTAGTATTCCTATTTTATATTAAAATAGTCTATACTTTTGTTATTTTGAAGCATAACAAACTAGCATTATGGTCTACTGAATACCAATACTTCCAATCAAAATATTTACGCAACGCAAAATGTGCAATGAATTTTAAAATTTATGTTAAACATTAAGTATAGGTAATTCGCAAACATGTTTTTGAATTATATTATCAGACATTTTTATTATTATTTTATGGCTTAATTGATTTATTGCTTGTTCCAGATGCTGTTACACAAATTGGGTATGTCGTTTTAAGTTTAAACAATTAATTAAGCTGATTTCATTATTATTATTAAACGTTGACAAACTTAAAGTTTTATGTACTAGTAGTGAAATATTTAACTTATTATCTTAACGGTAACAAGGTCGGTTACCATCTGTTCTTACAAGGGTTTTAATTGCCACAAAATTCTTGGGATGAGTTGCACTGCCTATGTACTTTGACGGTAACTATAACGATAACCGGTGTTTTTGTATGGAGTTTGACAGATTTTGACTTGTCAAAGTTAAAGTAAGATGGTACAACTAAGCTTTAAAGTTAAGGTGCAATGTGTGTGGTTAGCTTTACGTGACGTCATTGTACCGCATCGTGTGACCACAGTCTTAGATAAACTCCAATAAACTACTCGACCGGATCACCGTTAAAATAAACAATAATCCAACAAATGCCAAATCCATTTTTATAGCAAACATTCCCAGGCTAGCACCCGTTCGACAAATAAAGTGGTCGTTGCTATAAATTTGTCTGTCCGTCGCATTCGTAATGTGTGGGCGATCGCATAGTGTTGTATTCATAGCTTGATCGTTAAGTTATCGATAAAATATATTTAAAAACACATCGGTGGCTGTACACAATATTGTAACAAATTCTAAAAAAAACACATATTAAATCAAATGCGATGATTTGTTTTCAGTGTGAAGTATTTTTCTAGTTAATAATAGAGACTGAAAAATAATATTAAATTGCATTTAAATATACAGCCTCATAATAAGGAACCACAATTCAATTTAGAATCTACATTCAAATTTAGTTTAAAAGTATAATAATAATATGATTGAAATTCAATATGGAAATTAGACATCTCAGGCTTGAATCACATGAGTTTTTAGGCTTACTTAAAAAAAAGTATTTGTGAAAAGTGACATTTCAAAATGTAAGTAGGCTTTTGTTGAACATTTTATCGATAAAATAAGTGACTCCGACCAACTCTACCCACTCAATATTTTTACTCAATGACAAACATTTCGTTCTTAACGATCCTTGATGTCGGATTTTGCTTACCGAGTTGAGCAACCGAACTTAAGATACACTTATACTTGATTGAAAGGGAAAACATAGTGTTACATATCATTGGGTAATGATATTGAGGTTTATGCAGATTAGTGTTTATTTTACGAAAATGGTGGTCAATTTGATTATACCATGTTTTGGAAAAGTTTTCTCTATGTAGAGTTACAGAAAGATAAAATGACCTAACGTAACTACATGTTTATTGAGTGTTTTGTCAGAGTTTTCTTTAGTTGAGGCGTCAGAAATGCGAAGATAATGTAAAATCTATTTAGAACTAGCGACCCGCCCCGGCTTTGCACGGGTTCTAAGTATGCATATAAACCTTCCTCTTGCACCACTCTATCTATTTAAAAAACCGCATCAAAATCCGTTGCGTAGTTTTAAAGATCTAAGCATAATCATAGAGACAGACAGCGGAAAGCGGCTTTGTTTTCTACTATGTAGTGAATAAACATGATCTTACATCTTTTATTGCACAGATTTTGAGATGTTTTCAGCATCAAGCAAGATTTGATCAAAATGTACCTATTAATTGAGACTTTTATTTGCAGTATGTACCAGATGCTTCAGATTTATACATTTTGATGCACAAATAACATTTATCGGCAATTTACAGTCGATGGCATATCAGAATCTACATTTCTGTAAGTAGGATCTATTACAATTAACTATTACATATTAAGATGCCACAGTCCTTAGCTTGCATAGTCGTCAAGGACGTCTGAAAGTGCTTACAATTATGAAAACATAAGCACGCAAAAAGTAGCTGTAGTATTTGTTTCTTCGGGCTCTGTTTCGTAACCAAACATTTCGTTCAAAGTAAACATAGCGCCTCCAAACAGTCGTTTTCGCAACCACTCTTGCGCTTGACCGTAACTTATTCATTATAGTCCGTGGAATATGGACTCTAATGTAACTTGCTACTTGTTATTGTTTGGACGAAGGTTTAACATGAAAAAGACCTTTAGTAAGTCATGTAACCAGTGGCTTATATTAGGTAAAAATACCTGAGTCTGTGTTGATTTGCTATTTTCCCTTCGCTTACAGCAGCTGAACAGTGTTTTTCTATTTTAGCACCTGGATCAGTTTTGATAATTTTCGTAGGTATAAAAATAGCTTGCATTCTTTTGTGCGATGTGTAATTCTATAAAACTGTTTTTCTTAGAAAGTATACAATGACCTATGGTAATTATAAATTCTGTAGACAGAGCCTTGAGTAATAAATAACTGGATTACAAGCGCTACGTTAGTATAAAACTGACTTCAAATTCTAACCCGACATCTTCGTGTTTTAGAAAAACTCTACGTTACTAAACAGAATGCGCATACTTAGTCAGTAGACATTTGTGGGATACCCAAGTAGTTAGGGAACTATTATTATACTTACCTACTATCTTTAACAAGATAAGATAAACCCATCAAAAATAAAATTCCAAACCAATGAAGCATAGAAAGCGATGTTCAAGTCCCATGTTGACATACCGCGGCCCCATGACCCCGTTGACCTTACCAGAATGTTGGTAAAACACATGGTTCTAGTGAAACCATGGTGACACTTGATGTACTTTCACTGCATCTTCTACTGTACCTATAGGTCATGAAGGCGGTCTGTGGGTTGATTATTTGGAGGTGCTATTTTTTGCTGAATCACTTTCCTACTATAAGTAAGCACATATTTAGATCTGTAGTTGTAAAATGGGAAATATACCTACATTTTGGAAATGCTTTCATCTTTAGGTCATGACTCTACTATGGTAGCTTTAATTTACCATAGACAAATGGGGGCCGTATCCTACTCCTCATGTTGACAACATGAGCTTTTATGGGAGACTTTATTTCTTGTAAATTCTGAAATACCTGGTAATAACTTAGAACTAGGTACTGCTATGTAATCAGCATTTTAGAATATTTTTCCTCTTGCCATATAAACTTAATTACGTTAATACTGCTTTCTGATAATTTCGTTGTTTATTTTAACTTTTACCAAACAGATTTAGTAGAAGATATTAAAATGATCCCTCTAACTGTATAGACGTTAGATACCTAATGCGATTTGATCGAGTATTTCAATTATTTATACAAAACAACTCAACATAAGTTTTCTCATGAAGTGAAACAATATTTCCCGGTATTTGGTTCCCGCTGAAAACCAGCTTCTCGACATGGCGCTTGTTATGTCGCGAATATAGCTGAGCGGACGCCTCTTCAGCATAGCTTGTAGTTTAAAAATGTTGTACTGTATTTTTATTTTATTTCTCTATGCTGAATAAAGTAGGTATTCTTATTCTATATAATTTCTTTTGAGGTAATAAAGTTTATTTAACCAGAAACAACATGTTTATGATCCTTAGTCTACCAATACAAGACTCTATACTTAGTCTCCAATGAGAATTTATGTCTGTTATTAGCCCCAGCGAAGTGTGTACCAAAGGCATCCATCATTCAATTGAGGAAGCTAATCGTTCGTAAATGGACAATTAATATCAGTTGGCGTTTTTTATCTTAAAAGCTGTATACTAAAGTCCTTGGATAGTTGGGATCCTTTATTTTGTTACACGGTTTCGGATAGATTTTTGGGTCGTTTAAAAGGTTACGGTGTACATGTTACAGTCAAAACTCTTAACCATACAAAAATCAGATAAAAGTGGTTCTGATTCTGACCAATGCCTTTGGTCAATACATATAACTTTTGACTGTTTTTTGCAGTCAAATGTGGGTTTGACCGATTATGAGTTTTGACTGTAACTAATATTTTTAAACTATGACTTGGTGTGACTTCGTACGCGTTTTCGCAAAATGTTTCATTGATGTTCTTGCTTCTACTGATCATAGTATAGGACCAGTAGTTCCTGAGAATAGTGCGTTCAACCAAACAAAAAAACTCTACATTATAATATCAGGATAGATTATATTTGATATTGCATTTGAAATTATGTAAATCAATTCACGTGTTTTTTTTATCCACAACGAGGAAGCTCTTGGGCTGTATCTCACCTGATGGTAAGTAATGATCAGGCCGAAGGTGGAAGCGAGATTCACCCGGAATCCTCAACCACGGAGGCTATTTTACCTCTAACTGCCGGAACACAACAATGCTGATAACATTGTTATGGCGACAGACTTAGGTAAGATGGAGGTAGCCAGCCAGGCGGACCTAGAACAAGCCCTACCACCAACCAAACCGAACAGAAAAATCTGCCTCCACTGGGAATCGAACCCGGGACCTCTGCATCTGAAGCAGGTGGTTTTACCACTAGACCACAGAGACACTTATTACCTATCTACCGTGAATTATACACTTGTTTGTTTCTTGGAATTCCAAGTCGCATTGTGAATTTGCACAGAATTATCCATCCAACAAAGTCTAGGAAAAATTGAAATAGATCACGCAGTACCTTAATGTAACCTTGACCATATTAATAACAAAAAGTTTAATTTTGTTACACTTATACATAATTATGAATAAAATTACACTCGTATTCGTAGTAAAGCAAAGTCAATGACGGAGCATACGTGACCGCAGCGATCTTGACCTAGTCTACGAATTACTACTAAATAGTTTTCCTTAATTTCGCGTATTTTGTGAGGTAAATGCTATTAATTACATATTATTGGCCTACTCGATTATGTTCATGCAAATGAGTCATTGCGTTTGCAGCTGTGTTTGGTAAGTTTTGATTTTATTATTTATGTACGACGATATTCAAACTATTATAAACACTGTGACTTCTTGTGTAGATGTAATATTAGTTACAATAAAAAGTGTATAGGCTGAAATGCTGGCCACGGAAGGTACCGTTTGTCTATGTAAATAAAATAATTAAATTGTTGAATTTTATATCGAGGGTCTAAATTGTAAAAAGGTTTTCTAATTTCCACTCAAAAAATTGACTTGTTTGTTTACATTTTTCTTATCACATTTAGTGCGAACATGAAACGGGTTCCAACAA